CCGACCAAATATAAAACTATAGTAGCATAACCACCAAGTGATTTTACAAATAACTTGGCTTTATAGGAATTTCGCGTTTAAAAGAAGAACTTCTGTTGTTACTTTCACGAAGACTTAGTTTTTATTATATACTTTTTCAAAAGGCTATAATCATGGCAAAAATTGCAAAAACTGTTTTATTTTCCAGATAGATAAACTGAGACAGAAGAAAGAGAGAACATTATCAAGATCTAAGGTTTATCACTGGCAAACCCCCTGCCAACCTCTACCCTAGAGCCCCTTTCCACAGTGCCTTCCTGCTTCCCCAATAGGCACCCACCGACCTTGAGTGGTGCTGAGTTTCTCTATAGCACTGAAGCTCCCTTTTCGCCCAAGAACACTTGGTTGAAAATGACCTCTACTCCAGTTTTACAAGTTGTACTTCTTCAATTTTCTAGACACAGCCAGGAGGTAAAAATTTGAATGGTACCAAAGGGTATAGTGTGTAGACATGCTTCCCTTCATCTCTTGACTTCCACTCCCCCAAACCCGTTTCCCAAAAGTTATCCATTTCTTGAGCACCCTTCCAGATATAGTTTGTACATATATAAACTACATTTGAAAATTCTGAGCACCGTGGCCCACAGCTGTAAGCCCAGCATTTTGGGAGGCCAAGGCAGGAGGATCCCTTAAACCCAGGAATTCAAGACCAGCCTGGGCAACATAGTGAAATCCCATTTCTACCAAAAAAAAAAAAAAAAAAAAAACTTTAGCCAGGCTTGGAGGCACACACTGACAGTCTCAGCTACTCTGGAGGCTGCGGTGGGAGAATCACTTGAGCTTGGAAGGTTAAGCCTGCAGTGAGCCATGATTGTGCCACTGCACTCTAGTCTGGTTGACAGAACAAGATCCATCTCAAAAATAAAATAAAATAAAAAATAAATTACAAAAGCACAGATAATTCCCAGAAAGTAATTTTCAGAGAATCTTACAGGAATACAACACAAATAGCAGAAATGTCCAACATACAGGCAGGTTTGGGGAAAGAGGCAAGGTTTCTTCTCACCGTAGTACCAAACCCCAAGGGGTATTCTCATTTTTAGATCTGCCATCTTTTCGAGTCACTTTTAGCCTGTATCCCATCTTGAAGCAGCAGCTTTCCGAAAATCAGTACTCGCTAAATTAAAATAACATTTCATCATCTGTACGGAAACTATTTGTTAAGCTTCAAGAGGAAGCTCAGAGTGTTAATAATTCAGAATCTAATGATCAATCCATCTTTGCCCTCTTCATGTGCTTCATTATTTCTTAGACTTTGAACCTGTCTCCTCTAAGCCTTTGTCCTTCTGAACCAAGACGTCTTCAGAACCAACCAAATAAAAAAAAACAAAAAAAAAGCACTGCTCCTGATGGCTAACAGAAGGCTCCTGAGAAACAGTATAATCTCAGCCTTGGGCAACTTGAACATTCTAAATTGTTTAAATCAAGTATGTGATAGGTTGGCTAAAACAGGGCATTAGCAATCATGCATGCAGTAACTAAATCCCTAGTTAGAGCAACAAAAGTGATCTCACTAGGAAGGCTTGGTGGCTGCCACTGTCAGCCTCATTTAAACATTAGCTGCTTTCAGGCTCAGCAGTTCCTATATTTCAATCATTCTCTCCCAACCTCTTCCTCAGTTCCTTCTCTTTAAGCCAGGATTCTTCATTCAGACAGCCCAATGGGCAAGTACTTGGGCTTTGGAGGCAGGCAGACATGGCTTGGAATCTCAGTTCTATCACTAAATAGCTATGGGAACTAAGCCAAGTTGCTTAAACTCATTAAGTGTCATTTTTCTTATATGTAAAATAAAAGTAATAAAAATGGCTCGTTTTGCTGGGTCATTTACAAGGGTTAAATGGCATAATTTTTGTAAAGCACTAAACACAATGTCTTTCAGCAGGACCAGCTATGTAATTTGTGAAACCCAATGCAAAATGAAAATGTAAGGTCCCCTGTTCAAAAAGAATTAGGATTTTCAGGATGGTGACAGCAGAGTATCAAATCAAGTGTGGAGCCCTGTGGCACTGCATGGGTGGCAGGCCATGCGGTCAGCCTGACTCTCGGATGACAAACACTCAATAGACGATAGCTGTCATCATCTCTTACCACCCTCCCAATGTATATTTGCACCTCACCCTCCCCAAAGGCGCTCTTCAACTTGGAAAGTTTAACCAAATCATTCCAAAAACAGGCACTGGTGTCTCAGAAGTATCTGGAGTTTAGGCCGGGCACAGTGGCTCACACCTGTAATCTCCGCACTTTGGGAGGCCGAGGCAGACAGATCACAAGGTCAGGAGTTCAAGACCAGCCTGACAAACATAGTGAAACCCCGTCTCTACTAAAAATATTTTTTAAAAAAATTAGCTAGGTGTGGTGGCATATGCCTGTAATCCCAGCTACTCAGGAGGCTGAGGCAGGAGAATCACTTGAATCCAGGAGGCAGAGGTTGTGGGGAGCTGAGATCATGCCACTGCACTCCAGCCTGGGCAACAGAGAAAGACTTCCCCTCAAAAAAAAAAAAAAAAAAAAAAAGTATCTGGAGTTTATAAGACAAATAACTCACCAAAATGGATAATCTAAAACAGAAGACGATATTAACACAGGCTCATGAAAATGCACACCTACTCCAGGCCTTTGCTCTGGTTTTCCATCCTGCTAAGCTAAGACTCTTCCCTCCTTCCAATCTTTGTTCAGATGCATTTTCTATGGGAAGCTTGCTCTGATCATTCAGTTCAATCCCATATTTTGCTCTTCTTCCACCTTGTATTCTCTATCCCCTTCACCTCGTTCTACTTACACGCTTTCTCTGCTTTTGTTCACACATGTTCCCAAGTGCTTTATATATTCAACAAATATTAATAGAAAGAACAAATATCTCTTTGACTGAATGCGTAATCAGGCCATCCTTTTTCCACATAAAGACTCAGCTGGAGTCAGGTTGCCACATTATGGATGAAAGGCAGTAACAACCAGCTCTGCCCCTGGATATCCAACAGAGTTCAGGAAGCAGATGGGAAAGTTATCTCTCTCCCCACCTCTACCAAACGTCCCTTAGTTGGAGAGAAATCTAACCCAATCATCTGTGCTGCTAAACCGACACCTCTTTCAACAGTAATTCATACACACAGTTTGTTGTACTGACTTGCAGCAATGATGAGTGGCATTTTATAGGAATGTGCTGTACGGAACAGAGACATGTACCTAAGTGGAGGATATAATAAGCATTTTTTTAAAAATAGAACTAAAAGAAAAATAACCACACATTCCTGTTTTATCACAATGACGGAAAAACTGGGGTGTTAATATCAAAGCAAATGTAAAGTCTCTACTCCCTGAACCTGTGCATAAAGATGTTAGAGCCAGTCCAAGCAGTTCTTCCTGGAGTGAATGCCACTGTCACAGGTAGCATCTCACACCTTTCCCTGTGAACTCACAATGCTAGCTACGGGGCCAAGTAACAGCAAGGTGGAGGCCTATGTGTAATTCATCCAACCAGCTGAAAGGCAACCCCTAGCTGTGGCATTGCAGCTGCTGGATGAGACACTGTCACAGTAAAAGACGGATAATTTAAGAACAAAAGAGAAGTGCTGCCCCTCTGCATATGGATAACATGTAGCCAGTCAGTAGAAACCCCTGGAGCACCCAATCATCAAAAGATATTTAAGGGTCAACAGGCTTCAAGTTCTTTACCCAGGACAGGAGCACATCTGGGACCCCAAACACCATGCTGCCCACATGGTGTCCTCAGGACAGGCTCAGCAAAGCCCAGAGGAGCACACTGAACATCTGGCTTTTGCCCCAGCATGAACTATACCACTCCCTCTCAGCCCTGCACCCTGCATTTTTTTTTTTTTTTTCCAAACAAGCCACTCTCAGCCACCACAAATACTTTGGTGGGAATCAGCAGGGAGGTCCTCATTCCTTGTCCCAAAATAACGTCAGCCAGAGGCAAAGGCCAAAGAGGTGGAGCCTGCAGGCCATTTTGCAAAAGTTTCAAATATCCTGGTACTGACCCCATTAAAAAAACCGTGAAGGGGAAGCAGCCAAGCCTCTAGTGGTTTTCTCATTAGTGTTCCCCCTCAAACGTCTGCATGGATAAGAAACAAAGAGATGGTGCATCATCCTATGATCAGTGCTGGCTATAGGAAACAAAATTTCCTCTTGCAAACTTAATACCAAAACACTGAAATTAAAAACTTTAACAGGAATGTGTGAGCTCTGAGACAGCTTAATCCCCAAAGAGATCTCTAAGGCATTAGTGTAAGGCTGAACAAGCAACTGGTGAGCTGCCCCACCTTCCCAAGGGTCTTTCTTAAATGTGCAACTGTCTCAGATTTTCCATACTTCTCTGCTGGTTTTTCCTCTGGAGAGAAAGGAAGCAGATTTCTTGGCCGTACAGTTTAAGAAGGCAAATAAAGCCGCCTTTCTCCTTAGAGGAGCCCTTTCAACACACACACACACACACACACACACACACACACACACACGTACTTTTTAAAATATAAATACGAAAGAGAGGAAGGCAGTGAGGGAGAAAGAATACTAGAGAGATGGGAAAGAAATGCTAGTTAATCTTGTCCAATTTTTTAAAAACACACACAAAAAGTCAATAGCAAACTAGGCAGAGGCATGTTATTCTCAAAACGCACACTCCTCCGGCATTACAGTACTGTTAGCAACAGCAAATGATATTACAGATAGGAAAAAGCCTCAGCTCCAGGAAAAAAAAAAAAAAAAAAAAAAGCAGGAATTGTTAAAGGAATACAAAGTGGCATTACTCTCATGAAAAGTGCAAAGGGGCCAGCTGCTGCCCACCTTCATCTGTTCCGACAGTCAAGTACACCTAGCCCAGGACCTCTTGATTCTGGCCATGCCCTGCCCCAAACCCTGCCTTCCCAGGTCCCAGGACTCCAGCTGCTCCTCGAGTGACACCACTTCCCCGCTTTGAAAGCCCCCCTGCCCGCCCGCCGGGTCCTCACCGTGTGGTACATGAGGGCCTCGCCGTCCCCGGGCTCTGACAACTCGCTCAGCTTGCGGTCCCACTGCAGCACGCCCTGCTCCCCGCTCTCCAGCACCTCCATGGCGGTGCGGGCCGCGCTGGCCTGGGATGCCGAGCCCAGGAGGGGACGCGCAGAGCTGCCTCGGACCGCGAGGTTTCTCTCTCTCCGCGTGTGCGTGAGTGTGTGAGCGCGCGTGTCTGTAGTTTTGCACTTGGAAGGCAAACGTCTGCTCCTCTGCCGGAGAATGGCCAAACGCTCCCGTCTGGTGTCTTCGGAGAGCTGAGAATCCCCAAGGACACGGGCTTGACCAAAGGCTGCAGGGGCTAAAGCGGGATGTGCATCCAAAATGAAGGCAGGAGATCCGCTCTCATCCCAGGAAAATCCCTTCGCCGCGAGCCCACTTTCCGCTACCGATCCAGACACAAACTTTGAGACTCCCTAGGGCTCCTAGGCGCTGCTCCAGGACCCAGCTGCGGCCTGACCAATCAGGTATCTGTATAGCCCAGCAGACCCAATCAGAAGTCTCGCTCTCGGCTCTGTCCCGCCCTCCAAAGGCAGAGGCCGCTGCAAGTTTCCGCCCATGCCTTAGGAGGTTGCCGGGGCTTGTCTGTGACGTCACCGAGGGACTCCTCCCTCCTGAGCGAGGTCCGCTGACGGCAGTCGCCCACTGCGGACCAATAGAGGGCCTGAGTCCGGAAGTGATGGACTGAAGGCTTGACCAATGTAAAAGGTGCGTCTAAAAGGTACAGCCAATGAAATAGCGACAAGAATACATTTTGTAAAAGAGGGAGGGTGAGCTCAGTCCTCCTGCTGAGAATCCGCAGAAATTAGCCAGCGAGCTGACAGGGAGCGCGAGAGTTACTGCGCGGTGGACTTAAACATTTTCAAGGACCTTAGTTCATTTGAATCTCTCGGATTTTTTTTTAATGAACTACATATTATACAAAAATACAAATATTCCTCATGCACATAAATTGATATTAGTGCAGCTCTAGCAAATTGTCATTGTTCTTCACATTTTCCCTCATTTTCTTTTGGGTCCTTCTAGTCTTTATGGACTTCACTTACGGTATATTTCCTTTCGTCTGCTCGATAAACGCCAATGGCATGCTCTTCCAGGTCCTAGAGAAATGAGCCCAGCCCTTGAATTCATACAGCTTTTTTTCTCAAAGGAATCAGGCAATAAAGAAATAAACATGGAAAATCAGAAAGTGGAAAATGCTATAAAGAAAAATAAAAGCAGGATAACAGGATAGGGCAAGATCAATGCTATTTTATACGCTGGTCAGAAAAGTTCCTCCTAAAGGGAATAAGATTTCGCGAGAAGCTGGTGTTCTGGTGACAGCCGGGGAGGCCAGAGTGGCTGCAGCAGAGGTGCCTGGCAGGGAGGGTAGGAGAGGCCCGAGGGGTGAGCACCAGCCACGCATGGCACCAGGCAAACCTCCTAGATTAGCGAAGAGATGGCCTGTTCTAAAGGAATTCCCCCAACACTGTGATTCTTCTTCCTCCTTTTTGATTCCTCAAAAAACAAAACACACACACACACACACACACAGCCCTTAACTCTAGAAGTTTCTTACAATGGTACATTCAGGTATTAGGTATTGTGTCGTCTTCTTGGCAAGTATTTTTTGGTAGGTGGGGACAAATATCTTTGAACTCTATGTTGTCTTTAAAACAGCGGTTTATCATACAAACTATTCCTGGTCCGGTCCTATCTCCTGGGGTCTTTTGAGTTTTGTTTTTTTTGTTTTTCGGATTTTGTTTTGGTTTTTTGGTTTTGGGGGTTTTTTGTTTTGTTTTGTTTTTTGTTTTGAGACAGAGTCTGGCTCTGTCACCAGGCTGGAATGCAGTAGCACGATCTCTGTTCACCGCAGGCTCCACCTCCTGGGCTCAGCAGTTCTCCTGCCTCAGCCTCCTGAGTAGCTTGGACCACAGACATGCACCACCACACCCAACTAATTTTTTAATTTTTTGTACAGACAAGATCTCACTTTGTTGCCCACGCTGGCCTCAAACTCCCGGGCTCAAGTGATCCTCCCCCCTGAATCTCCCAAAGTGCTGAGATTTAAGGCATGAGTCACCACGCCCAGCTTTTGAAATTATTTTAATGCTTACATAGAAGCTCTAGTTTATGGGGACACACCTTCTTTATATAATAGTTCTCTCATTTTTCTCTTGGGTTCTTGATTTTTCTTCTCCAGTCTGCTATCCCCTTCACCACATTCTTTCCATAGATGGCTTTTTCCATTTTAAAAAAACCTTTCTTATTTTTTTAATCTAGCACTCAATGTACAGTGGTATTATATCCACATAAACCCATCATAAATTGAAAATATCAGAAGTCGAAAATGCATCTAATATACCTAACCTATCAAACATAGCTTAGCCTAGCCTACCCTAAATGTGCTCAGAACACTTATATTAGCCTACAGTTGGACAAAATCACCTGGTAACACAGTACTAGTTATATACTGTCATGATTGTGTGACTGCCTGGGAGCTATGGCTCCCTTGCACCAGGGGAGAGTACCATATCACATATTGCTAGCCTGGGAAAAGATCAAAATTCGAAACTCAAAAGTCAGCTTGTACTGAATGCCTATCTCTTTCACACCATCATAAAATCAGAAAATCCTAAGTCATAAGTCAGGAACCATCTGTACATTCTCCTTAATGCAGGAATACAAACATTTATCTGTGAGGCATTTCTGCTTTTGACAAAGTCTAATCCTGCTTATGCCCCATATAGTAGGCAGTTTCCCAGATGGCATCCAATGATGCCATTTCTTGGTGCTCACACTCTTGTGTAATTCCTCCTCTTGAGTCTGCGCCAGACCTAAGGACTTCCTTCTAACAGAAAGAATATGGCAAAAGCAAGAAGATGTCAAAAAGATTATGGCTCCTGACTTGCTTGTTTCCTCTTCCTCTCTTGCTTGCCTGCTCTAAGAGAAGCCAGCTGCCATGCCGTGAACTGCAATGTGAAAAGGCCAGTGCAGCAAGGAGGTGTCCAGCCAGTGAGGACCTGAGGCCCTCAGTCCAACAGCCCATGAGCAACCGAATCCTGCTAATAACCATGGAAGTGAACACAGAAGTGGATCCTTCCCCAGGCGAGCCTTCAGATGTCCACAGACCCAGCCAAGACTTTGACTGCAGCCCTGTGAGAGCCCCTATGCCAGAGGACCCAGCTAAGCCACGCTCAGCTTCCTGACCCGTCAGGTAATAAATGTATGTTGTTTTGAGCCACTAGGCTTTTCCTTTGTAAAATATGTATTATGATCATTGGCACCCTAAATGATTTGGTTAAACTAATCTGCACCCTAATAATAGCATGATAATCCCTTGTGGTGAGCTTCTCCAGCCTCCTTTGTTTCACGTATCCTTCTCTGTTAGATGCACACACAACTTCTTACCAGCCTGTCTTTCTGGTTTACATTTTAAATACTAAATTTTTTCCCTTTTCTTCTCCTTCTTAAAACTTAGTAATGTAGTTGACTCTCCTTCCAGCTTCACTGGCATCCTTGTTCTCCTGTCTTTTATTAATAGATTCATGCCACTTGCATGACTGGAAGTTATATGTTCCCCAAATGAAAATCAGATACATTAGCCAACAAGACGTTTTTCTGATATTATTTGCTACCTTTCCATGTGTCAATCTATTTACAAATTTGTTCTATGTGCTTTCTATACCTTCATCTCAATTGTTAAGTTAAATTGTATCTAGAATTGGGAACTTGACAGATCCCCCACATCATGAAAATAGAATCCATTTTCCAAGTTCCCATGGCCCGGTTCATCAGCATGCTTTTTGTTTGACTGCTCAATAAAAATTAATCTATTGAATTTTCCTTTTTCATGTCCTGTACTTTTTCAGTTTATCCACAGGGATAACTGTTAAGTACCTGCTAAATTTCGGACACCATTGTGTATACATCTTTCCAGGTTTAAAACGGTCTTAAAAAAAAGAAATGAGGCCAGGCATGGCGTCTCATTCTTGTAATTGCAGCACTTTGGGAGATTGAGGTGGGAGGACTGTTTGAGGCCAGGAATTTGAGACCAGCCTGGACAATATAGCAATCTGTCTCTACAAAAAAATTTTTAAATTAGCTGGGCATGGTGACACACACTTGTAGTCCCAGCTACTTGGGAGGCTGAGGCGGGAGGATGGTTTAAACCCAGGAGGTCAAGGCTGCGGCAAACTGTGATGATCCCACTGCGCTCCAGCCGGGGAAAGTCTGCCAGGCCAACGTGAAAAGGCTGTGCACTGGCATCTCTGGTGCCACATCGTGACACTCACGCATGTCACGAGCTGCAAAGACTGCGTCTTCTCAAGTGAAATTGTCGGCCAAAGAATGCATGTGGGGTAGGCAGCAGTTGGCTTATCACGGTCTCCCTCACCGAATGGTGAGGATCAGGTGAAGGGGACAGGCAGGAATACTCTATTGTCCCGAGTTGCTGTAACAAAGTACTGCAGCCTGGGAGGCTCCCAGCGACAGCAATGAGTCCCCAAGGTGTATGTCGCCCTCTAGTGGTCTCTGCCTCCTCTCTTTCCTTTGTACCTGTCCATTCAGGAGCTCATCTCAGCCCTGTCCCAACCAACACACGGAGTTCTCCAAGTACAGCCCCCTTGCCATCCTTACTGAAACCATTTCTGATTACTCAGTCAGATTTGCATTTTTCAGACCATCTCCTTCCTCTTGGGCAGTTTTTTTTTTTTTATACTGTAACAAACCAAGGAACCCTGCCCATTTCATCTCTGACGTTGTTTTAGTAAGTACTGCAGATGTATCTATGTCGCTCCTCAGCGCTCTTGACTATCTACCATCTGGTGAGAATTTTCTTTTTATTTTAACGTGTTCTATCACTGTATTCCAGTTTGGAATGGGAGTACCACTTTTACCACCCTCTGGCCTTCCTTTGTTTAAGTCTTTCTAACAGTGTTCAGTATAATAGAAATTTCCCAGCTATGTGGAATTTATTTAATTTCTATTTCTTATTTATTTATCCATTTTTAGACAGGGTCTCGCTCTGTCACCCACGCTGGAGTGGTGTGACCATGCTTCACTGCAGCCTCAACCTCCCAGGCTCCTGTGAACCTCCCACCTCAGCCTCCCGAGTAGCTGGGACTACAGGTGTACACCACCATGACCAGCTAATTTTTAATTTTGTATAGAGATGGGCTTTCTGCTTTGTTGCCCAGGCTGGTCTCGAACACCTGGGCTCAAGCTATCCTCCCACCTCAGCTTCCCAAAGTGCTGCGATTACAGGCACCTGGCCTCTTTAGTGTATATAAAGCAAAGAGGAGTGAAGACACCTGCGAGAATCTAGTATCTTTCTAGGAAATCCAGGAAATCAGGATGGGCTTCAGGAATGTGAAATAAACCGGGCACAGGGGCGCATGCCTGTAGTCCCAGCTACTCGGGAGGCTGAGGTGGGAGGATCGCTTGAGCCCAGGAGTTCTGGGCTGTAGTG